TCTGTTTTACTACACTTGTAATGTTAAACTTTAGCAATGCCAGCAAAGAGAGAGAAGAAAGTGTTTTTAGTCATAGACAGCATGAAGGGGATAGACTGTAGTAGCTATCGTCATTTCATCCACTGGTTTCTGACATGTTTTTCTGAAGCCTCGACTTTGGCATTTTTACTGTCACCATCTTCAAAAGAATGGACGATATGAGGAGGGACGGGTTTGACTGTGAAACTATGCTAGTTGGCAAACTACTTACCAGTCACACGTCATTAGCCGGTGAACAGTTGCCATGGTTAAGGCTCTATTTTGAAATATGCAATGATACAAAAACTATAAAGCTTTATAAATAGATTTTTGATTCAGTATGACTAGAAATCAGTGACTGAGTCCACAAACTGTTTGCAGAAAGCATGGCCTTCTATCAGGCCCAAATTTTTTGTTTGTTTTTTACAACCACAGCTATCGCTCTCTGGTGGCCTTCAGGTAGAATGCAGGTTTAAGACACTTCCACGTTGACTTATTCTTTTTTAAAACCTGCATATTACATCCATGTTTTTATATTGTCTGTGCTTCTAATCTTCATGCTAAGCTAACAGTTGCTCAGTACTTTTTTCCTATATTGATAATTTACAAGTCTAATATTTTTTTGTGTTTTAAATTTTGCCAATTTGAAAATCCTATAATAGTAACACAAAAAAATTAAATTCTCAACATGTAAGCTTTCTCAGATTTTAGTGTTACTTCTGCTATTTTAATTTCTTTGTCAAACTCCTGAATTTGACCCTAGCTAATGTGCTGTATTCTCTGAAGACTTAAAGCTATTCCTCCTGGAGCTTTGAGGGTCATGGCCAGAGAATATTTGTATCTAGGTTAAAATGAGACTGAGGGAGCGGGGTATATTTTGGGTCTGAGTTGAGTGTGTGTTTGTGTGGGGGGCGGCTGTAAGGGGCAGCGGTTACAGCCTGTCTCATATGTCAGTGCACTGTGGAGTCTCCAGGCAGCTGCTCTCTGGTGAGTTTCCCAGATCTCTGCTTTTTGTCTCTCCCTTCACCTCCTGTGTTTTTAATTTCCACAGGGTATCATCTGCTTCTCTGTACACAGACATAACTCTTAGGGGAGTATTGTTGTTGGATTTTTTTTCCAATAACATTTTGATTCTAAAGAGCGCTGACCTGTGGTAAGGACTTTTTTTCCATTGCAGGCTGGGAATTATAGATTAAAATAGTTCAAGAGAAGACTTCAATTGCAGAGTTATAAGTTTTTATATTTTTAGGTATTAGGTGTTCATTTGTCAAAATAAGAAAGATTAAGCGCTGCCAGCACTGCAAGACAAGTCATGCGGTACGCTAGTATTTTTGGAAAAATCTTAATCTGGTCTGTCACGAACACCTAGGCCTGAAGCTGCCTGTCTTATAGGTCAAACCTGCTTACTTGCAGCTTCACAGATACATTTGTGTCGCAGTGTACCAGTGTGCAGGAGAGACATAATAATATTTAGCTTGTGATATGGAGTTTGCTTTTAAAAAGAAAAGATTAGGAGTTAAAATTCATGTGATGATTCTATTAATTGTCGTCCTCTGATAAACTTATTATAGTTGTATTTATCTATATATTTCTTGGGTCAGAAATTAAAAGCAGTGTGACTATTACAATATGTGGCCACAAGAGGGCAGTAACAATATTTAAATATTTTCAAAATATCTTAATATAAATAATGATTATGAAAGACGTTGACTATGTTTTGTATTTAAATATTAACATATGCATGTAAGCTCTTAAAATGAGTCGGGTCTAATCGGGACTCATTTGTCATTATTCTAAATGTTTACCTAAAACATTATGACCTGTAATTTCAAAGCATGTAATGATAAATGAGTCCCGCCATGCTTTGCTTTGTAGATCTGCTTGTAGACGACATCATTAAGGTCATGCCATCTAATCCTAGC